TCAAGACTTGGTACAGGCGACTTCTCATGCCTTGGGAGAGGCGACTTCTCAAGACTTGGGACAAGCGACGTCTCAAGACGACTTGGGACAAGCGACTTCTCAAGACGACTTGGGACAAGCGACTTCTCAATACTTGGGACAAGCGACTTCTCACTATCCCGGCCAGGACCGTCTGTGGACGTCCCGGTCACTGCCGGACGCGGTGTCTGCCGGACTCGCTCCCTGCAGGATACGGCGTCTGTATCATCCGACATCTGCCAGGCCGTCTGTGGAAACACCCGGTTCGGCAGAGACCGGGTGAGGCACAGATCGAAAGCAAGGAGAGAAGTGTGGCACAGAGTGAGGCGAAGACGTGGTGAGTCACAGAAAATGGGAAGCAGAGCTCGGGTGAGGCAGAGACAGAGTCAAGCATGAACAGGCTGATGCACACACCGTATCAAGCAGAGACCGGTGAGGCACAGGCCGAGTCACGCAGAGACCCTGTTAACCAGAGACGGAGTCAAGCAGACCTGGTGAATCACACCGTGTAAAGCAGATACCGGTTGAGGCACAGAGTACGGCTGAGACTGTGTGAAGTAGACAATAGCAGGGTTGGGGTCTGGCAGAGTCTAGTTCTGATAGGGAAGGGTCAGGTCAAATTTAGAAAAAAATATTTTCAATTTTTTCGAAATTTTAGAAAAATCAAAAAGCACTGCAAATCTTCTGAAAAGCGCACATAACCAAGAATTTTCGAAAAATTCTGAAAAAAATTAAAAGTTGAAATTTTTCAAAAATTCTTAGTTTTGTGCACTTTTTGGACGATTTCCTGCATTTTTTGATTTTTCGAAAATTTTCAAAATTTCTTTCAAAAATCTCCCCACCTGATGCCTATCTGATGTACTGTCTCTGACGAACGCGGTCTGTGCCTCACACGGCCCTTGACGTGCCGTCTCTGATAAGCCCAGTTGCGTCTGACACCACGTAAGGCAGAGACCGTGAAGGGCATAGACACGGGACTTGCGACTTTTCGCGACTTGGGACCAAATTTCCCCCCACCTGATGACTTGCAAAACTGGTCGCTGTCGGACTGTATCTGATGTACTGTCTCTGACGAACGCGGTCTGTGCCTCACACGATCCATGACGTGTCGTCTCTGAAAAGCCCAGTTCCGGCAGACACCACGTAAGGCAGAGATCCGAGACGGGCAGAGACACGGTTCACACACCGAGTCCTGCAGAGGCCGGTTGCTGCAGACATCGAGGGAGATGGCAACAGGGTGACAGAGGCCGAGTCCGACAGAGACAGGGTGAGGCATTCACCGAGGCTGGCATGAATCACATGGGGAGAGTCAGAGGCCGGTTGCTGCAGACATCGAGGGAGATGGCAACAGGGTGAGAGAGAGCAATTTCCAGCATTTTTTGATTTTTCGAAAATTTTGAAATTTTTCAAAATTTCTTTCAAAAATCTCCCCACCTGATGCCTTGCAGATATTGTCTCTGACGAACGCGGTCTGTGCATTACACGGTCCTTGACGTGCCTTCTCTGATAAGCCCAGTTGCGTCAGACACCACGTAAGGCAGAGACCGAGACGGGCAGAAACGGGACTTGCGACTTTTCGCGACTTGGGCCCAAATTTCCCCCCACCTGATGACTTGCAAAACTGGTCGCTGTCGGACTGTATCTGATGTACTGTGTCTCTGACGAACGCGGTCTGTGGATCACAATGTCTCTCACGTGCCGTCTCTGAGAAGCCCAGTTGCGTCAGACACCACGTAAGGCAGAGACATGGTCAGTCACACAGCGAGTCCTGCAGAAGCAGTGAGAAAGAGGCCGAGTCCGGCAGACAGGATGTGGCATTCACCGAGGCTGGCATGCATCTCTTGAGGAGTTTTGAAAAATATTGAAAATTTACAAAATTTTCGAAAAATCAAGCATGTAGGAAAATGTCCAAAAATCTCACAAGACTAAAAACTCGTTTAAATTTCCGATTTGAATTTTTTTCCGAATATCTCGAAAATTTTTGGTTTTGTGCGCCTCACACATTTTGATGCAATTCTTTTTCGAAAATTTTTAAAAATTCTAAAAAAAAAAATTCAAAATTTTCCCTATCCGATCCCTTTCATATCTGGTCTCTATCAGACACAGTCTCTGCAACACTTGCTCTCTGCCAAACTGTCTGTGCTGGACCAATTTTGAAAAAGAAAAATTCCAAATATTTAAGTTATCTGCGCATTTTGAACAATTTCCAACTTATTTTAAGAATGGCATGTAAAGATAAAAAACGGTTCCATTACAAAAGCCCACATGAAAATTCCGCACAGAAAAACCCGTCATAAATGCTCACATGAAAAATCCTCACATAGAAAAATACGCAGTGACATATGACAGTGGGGTTTTTCTGTGCGGAATTTTCGTGTGGGCTTTCTTCATGTGCGCATTTATAAAAAAAAACTGCAATAGTAAACTGGAAGTCCACAGTGATGGAAAGATACATATACTCACATTTTTCACTTAGAAAGGTGTTTTATGTATGCACTTGGACTGATAGGAGACCAATTCACACAATTCTCAGGACAATATTTTTATTCATTCACTTCCTTCGTTTAATTGTAGTGAATATGTCCTAATATTCAAGGGTAATACATTTAGTCTTCAAGTATTCATTTAAAGCTTCTTCACCTGCAAAATAGATAAAACTCTGTGAAGTTCACACTTTAAAAAGAGTGGTTAAAAACATGAAAGGCCATAGAATGTGCAGCAAGAAAACAGGACTTCCTTCAAAATATGAGTGACGATCTTTATTAACAAGGATTCAGAGAAGGTGAAGTTAATTTTCTTTATTGGGAAATGCATTAACTTAATTCTCGCATAATTCGCAGTTATGCTGAACTTGGGATTTCTGTTGTGGTTTTGCTGCATTTTGATGCCATGTAGTTTTAAGGAGCACATTACCTCCATCTTCAGGGTTGAATCCTGAAGACAGAGGCCACACAGTCTTCTAGTCTTCAGGGGTCAACCCTGAAGATGGAGGTAGTATATTCCTCTGAAGCGCTGCTTACCACCAATGAAGTAGGGAAGCTATTAAATGACTGGTGTGTATCCGATGAGTCCTCATTGTCAGATGAAATATATACATGCCTTAAAACGGGTAACTTAAGACCAATAAAGTTAAATTTATGGATGCCAAGAGAACTAATTGGGAGTGTTTAAAAGAAAATCTATAGGTAAATTCTGAGGTAATGCAGTGCAGGTCACCCTTTTGTCCTGTCACCAGAACTGCGTCGCCAGGAATGCTCGCTCACCGAGGAATGTGCCCCGGTAGAATAAGTGTTGAGCAAGCTTAGAGCCAAAGAGAGAAGACTGTTTAATACAGCCAAAAGGAAACGTGAATCGAATTTCTGTAAAATGGATGTCTGCTGGAAAATTAAAATGATTAGGGGATTAAAAAGATGTACCAAGGAGTGCCAGACTCATGAAACAGGCAAATAACAAGAAAACACAATAAGGCTCCCTGATGGTTGGTATATAAAAAACATCTCCTGCGGAGCCTACTCATGGATAAAATTCTTACAGGACTCAATGAGTGTAGTTATTGTCCTGTTCAATTTGCAGATAATATAAGTCCTTACAAACTGTAAATTTCCCAAAATGCTCTCAGAATAGTACAACAGTAGTGCGATATGACAGACTTTGCTATCAGCCGAAACGAAATGTGACACCTTTCACCAGGGAATTAGATACTAGAGGCACTAAGGAATCAACCCTTTCTGTCCACAGAAGTCAAGTACATTGTGAGACCCATATCACCACCGCCACCAAAGTGCGGTGGCCTACAGCGAAAAAGAGAAACAGCAAGACTAAACTGAGCGCATGGCGGAGGGACAAATAGGAAAAAAGATTACAGCTTCAGCAGCTGCAACTGAGGTCCTCCTGTGACACATAAACAAATTCACTTAAAGATACCGAAAATGGAACTGTCATCTGAAAAGTAATGAATATATTAATTATGAAACAAGAATTAATTGTACTAGTTCCAAAAAAAGAGACCATATTACTGACCCAAATCTTTTCCAAAGCCGGACTGTTTGAATCCTCCGAACGGAGCGGCAACATCTGTTTTATTGTACGTGTTCACAAATACTGTCCCTGCATCAATTTTCTCTGCAACATACAGAGCTCGACTGATATCCTTTGTGAAGACTCCTGATGCAAGCCCAAACTCTGTATTGTTAGCTCGCTTGATGACTGCATCTACGTCTCTGAAAAATAAAAAATATTACTTAGATGTCACGTAAGAATCATTGGTACGTCACAGAGAACAGATGGACATTTTAGAAACAGAGATTAATTATACTGATATTATACGACAGGATTCCTAAGGAATGCCTGATAGCTAGAAAAGTTTACACACACAGAAATTGAGCACGAGCAGTGAGCTACGTTTGAGAGAGTTTGTTTATATATATAATGGTTATCCCACCAGGTATGGGCCATGTATGTAATGTGATGTCAATCACGCTGTATCTTCTGTGAACAGATGACAGCCATCAGTGGTCAATAAATTTCCTCATTTTATGGAACGCAGATGCGCGTTAACAGTTTACAAAAGCTTTTTCACCGAACCCTATCCTCAGCCAACTCAATGCAACTCATATTTTCAGATCTTTAGTATTGATACAGAATTTGACTCAGATTCTTCGCACATGTTGAACAGACAGAGAAACTGAGAAATTTACGAAAGTAAAAGCTTCACATTTGTGCTAAAAAGCTGTGATGTGCAGAAATGTAACATATAATGAAATCAAATGGATCTTGGGTGAAGGTACATTGCGATCATCTGAACTGGTTTGAAAAAAGTCAACGCAGGTCTGACAGTTGGATCAATATTGGGCGTAGTGAATGTTTCCATTTAATCCTGAGATCGGTATAAGGACTAGCGGCGAGCTCTTGCAAACACAGTAATAAACCTTCAGGTTCACTAAGGGATTGGATTTCTTGACAAACTTAGCGACTACCAGCTTCTCAAGGAGGACTCTGTTCCACAGCACATAGTTTCATTATTTTAATACGTATTAGTGACTCAAGCAAGACCCTTGTGCCTATTTTAGTAATTCAGGCCTAATTTTTGCCTTGACAAAAAGTTATCAGTTTATGTTTCAATTATACGATCACATATTCAGAAAATTGAAACTCACCCACTAGCAAACTTTGATATAACCATAACTGGTCCAAATGACTCTTCACGAGCAATATACATGTGGTCCTCCACATTTGTGAACACAGTGGGTTCAAAGAAGTAGCCTGTTCTGTTGACACGTTTCCCCCCGCACTCTAGTTTTGCGCCTTCCTTTACTCCGACAGCACAGAATTCCACTAACTTATCCAAGTGTGCTTTGTGATTCTGTGGGCCATGTTGCGTATTTCGTTTGAATGGGTCTCCAATGACCTGAAAATGAAATATGCAGAATGAATATAATTATGAATTTTAAATCACAAATAAGCTGACGCTTATGATTTGTCTACAGTGCACCTTAGTTACTCAGTCTGATAATTAAAAAGTATGAAGAAAGAAGGCAGACGTAAACATTAATCCATGTCTCATGTCACAAATCTAGCAGCAATATGTAGGTTTTTATGAACCCCATTCATAACCCTTAAGTACAAACGCTGAAAGATGCGCTTCTCCGTAACAGTGATCCAGCGAGAGCAACCACTCCATTGCTAAATAATAAATACAATGACTTCTCTATATTATATATTACATTTATTGTGATCCATCCAGCATTTGCATTTCTAAAAATGTAACTTAGCCAGTATAAGAGTCTGTTATTACGACAATTTTCATTTATTTCAACAGCTGCTTTTACAGTGGATTTTCTGTGTAACATGTGGTCATAGATCAACTTTTTCTACCAGTGAAGATTACTGAGAAAGCTTCTGATATGTACACACCAGTTTCTTTGTTCCTTGTAGCACTCGTTTCACAAATTCATCATGGATGGAGGATTCCACAAAGAGTCGACCAGCCGCGATGCAGTTCTCTCCTTTGTTGAAGAACACACCACTCTTGCCCTGAAATAAATAAATATATGGTACAATGTTGCGTGTGATTATTTTTTTACAGTTTCACATTTGTCTTACTCAATCACCGAATGTGCCTTAAAAATTAGGGTACGGTCACTGTTACTGAATATTCAACAGCGGCATGTGCCGATTAAGAAAATATTACTGAACATATGAAGAACTATACTAAGCATAAATTAACTAGAAATTTATACAAAATACTTAAGTTAACATAATGGTATTTAAGAAAAAAGGATTGTATTTTTATTTCTCTCTCTCACATGATCTGTATGTTCTGTCTTCCACGTCCTAACCCTGATTTACAAGAATTGATATCTGCCATTATTTCTCGGACAGTGATCAAGCTAAAATTTACATGATGGATGTAGGTATAGACAAAAGAGAATAGGAGATAAAGGTATTCTAAAACCATTTTATGTAAGTTTGCAATCAAGAAATGAGTTTTAATTAAACTTTGGGATCAGTAACTTTCAACGCACATCAGTGACTATGAAAATAATGACAGTCAGACAAGAAAAATAAGAATTACTATAATTTGCCACATTACAAGTGGGAGTGCAGAAGGAAAGCAGCAATTTAATAGTAAATGATTACGCATTTCTGCAGTCTTATGGTCCATCATCATTTGATTTCATACACACTGCCATAAGAACATCAAATCTCACTTATTAACCAATAACTGCGTTAACTATTATATGCTAATGCCAAGCAAATAACCTGTTTCAAATTATAAATTATCGGTATAAAATAAAATGTTGACATTTGTAATTCATACATATTAATGTAAAGTGTTTCTATGGCAGTTCAGGTGCGCTCTACAGTGTTAAAGAAGTAATTTCTATTATAAGACTGCAAGATTCAACTGATGTGAAATCAAACTTACCATTCTAACTGCTCTATCCAGATCACAGTCATCAAATATTATGAGTGGGGACTTCCCGCCTAGTTCCAGGGATACTCTCTTCAGATTTGAGTCTGCACAGTTCCTCATAATCACTTGTCCCACACCAGTGCTACCAGTGAACCCAAGTTTTCGAACATCAGGATGACTTGCTATGGCATTGCCAGCTTCTGCACCTGGAATATGAAACAAAGATTACATAGCCATGTTTATATGCCTGCTCATTTATATACACCTACAGTGTCTATGAATGAACAGCGCACACAGTGTGTTTCTGCAGCGTTGGTCGCCAGTGACTGTGGTATCAACTGTGTGTAATGTAAGACTTGAGGTTCTCACAGCGGTGAGTATGAAGATTTCCTTCTTCTGGGTTGTTGCGCTGTGTAGTCTGGTCGATGTTAACCACCGTTTCAGAGGTCATACTGCCTCCATCATCAGGGCGATGAGTATAAAGATTTCTGTCTTCTGGGTTGTTGCGCCGTGTAGTCTGGTCGATGTTAACCACCGTTTCAGAGGTCATACTGCCTCCATCATCAGGGCGATGAGTATAAAGATTTCTGTCTTCTGGGTTGTTGCGCCGTGTAGTCTGGTCGATGTTAACCACCGTTTCAGAGGTCATACTGCCTCCATCATCAGGGCGATGAGTATAAAGATTTCTGTCTTCTGGGTTGTTGCGCCGTGTAGTCTGGTCGATGTTAACCACCGTTTCAGAGGTCATACTGCCTCCATCATCAGGGCGATGAGTATAAAGATTTCTGTCTTCTGGGTTGTTGCGCCGTGTAGTCTGGTCGATGTTAACCACCGTTTCAGAGGTCATACTGCCTCCATCATCAGGGCGATGAGTATAAAGATTTCTGTCTTCTGGGTTGTTGCGCCGTGTAGTCTGGTCGATGTTAACCACCGTTTCAGAGGTCATACTGCCTCCGTCATCAGGGCGATGACGCCCTGATGACGGAGGCAGTATGACCTCTGAAACGTTGGTAGACATCGACCAGACTACACAGCGCAACAACCCAGAAGATGGAAATCTTCAACAGTGTGTAATCTTTGCCTTTAATTATTAGATTGACTCTTGATGTTCATAAAGTAAGACTACATGCTCAGTCATTTTGACAGCACTTTCTGGAGCACTGTATCTTACTGGAAACACATTCCAGGGAATTTGATCCCTTTAACTCTCTACTTTCGTATAGTGATCTACACGTATGTTATTTTCATCTTTCATTTTTCCCACACTCTGTATAAAAAAAGTCGTGACTTCTTTGTCTTCGTACCCCAGCAGTACATGTGACATGATACCATGAATTATAGCAAGCAGGGAAATATGAAATGTTCACGGAATACCTGTAACTAACACACCATTCTGCACACTACATTATTACAGAATTTGTTCTGCACTACTGCGTACCTGTTCCTGGCAAGATATTGATTACACCAGGTGGAAATCCTGCTCTTACAGAGAGTTCAGCAAATTTAAGGGCTGATAGTGGAGAAACTTGGGCTGGTTTCATAACAACTGTGTTACCAGCAGCTAGACAAGCTGCCATCTTCCAAGACAACATCATCAAAGGATAATTCCATGGAGTCACCAGACCACACACACTTAAATAAAAGTATTTCATTTAAATTAATAAATGTATGAACTTCAAAACAAAATATTATAAATTCTACAATATTTATATTGTACTCTTTATCCTAAGCAATAATTCAGTTTCATTTCTCTATTTACTATGAGGATCTTCAAATACATTTTAGTTTTATTTAATTAAGAGATACAATGATAGGATTATTGCAACTTAACATTAAATTAGGCTTGTATACAGTAAAATCCCAGTTTTAGTTTTCTCAATTTAAAATTTTTCCACATTTTGAGATCATATTTTGTGATCCCAATCACAACTCCATGCAATATAATTCAATATATGGTCTGGTTAAGAACTTCGCGACTTAAAGTATTATCCCCATTTAAGGAATGAAATCTGGGACCATATACATTATATGGTATCTGGACTGCAGTTCAATGTTCACATGAACTCAGTGTGTGTAATTTGTCATCATCACCAATGAGTTTGAAACTCCAAGAAATATGTGAAGTCCTTTCCTCCCTTGCTACCACTACATGGTAAAGCCATGTGCTTTGATTAAGTGTTCTTTCATGAATTGACTGTGGAGTTGAAAGGTTGTACTTGTGAGCCCATTGTAAACTTTGACGTGTGAAATTTAGTATCAGCTGTTGAAAGGTTTTGTTGTGTGAACCAAATGTCTTGAATTGTTCCTGTATCAGAACAGACTTTCTGAGACGTGTGTATTGTCTTGAATTGTTCCTGTATCAGAACAAACTTTCTGAGACGTGCGTAGAATGAGTGATCAGACAGGTAACATTTGGACATAAATAAATTTCATAATGACTTTCCGTGCACTTCAATCTTTTCCACTACAGTTTCTATTGTTAAATTATTCAATAAGTACCGCAGACCGCGCATAACTTAAGCATTTAAAACTGTATTTTTAAAAGACCTACAAACCAATAAATTACAAAATAATTCTTTCACACACACCCAATTGGCTCCTTTTTAGTGATTGTGAGATTTCTATTTGGTCTTGCATGACTGATAGGAATGGTGGAGCCATGAATCTTATCACACCAACCAGCAAAGTACCGCCATGTTTCTATTGACATGCCAACATGAGTTTTCAGTGCCAAAGTGTAGACAGCACCAGAATCAAGTGATTCAATTGTTGCCAATTCTTCCTTGTGTTGCTCCATCAAATCTGCCAGTCTGAAAGATAGAATATAATATCACCATAGTAAGAAAATCGTATCTTGCTCTCACGTTAACCAGAAGCAAGAACGTGACGATTACCGGTACATCAGCAGTCCTCTGTCTCGAGCATTAATTTTACTCCACTCTCCACTTTCAAATGCCACCTTGGCCGCTTGAACAGCCACATGAACATCGGCTGCTGAGGCGCGTTGTACCTGGTAAACACAGCAAAGAGATCTAAAGCAGACTTTGACTTCATAGAAACAAAATAAGAAAGTTAGATGGACGAGCATGTGAAAAAAGGAAAATATGCCTAAGCGCTTACAACCAAAAGCAGCATTCACAATTAAATGAAAACAGAATCAACAGAATTCTGAATTTCCTCTGGTAATGACAGCAGATTCCTATATTACGTAACATTCAATACAAGCTACATGACTGGTGTCAGTAAAAAAATTACAGGAGGAAACTACATCTAGCTATATGTATATAAAGTCTACGGAGATGTTACTTTGTACGATAAACAGGAGACAAAGACAAACAAAACAAAAATACAGAAATGTAGAAGGCAGATGGAGTGGACTGTCCACAAACAGAATTAACTAACGAACGTACAGGAAAAACATAAAAGAGTGAAGTGTCACTGAAGTTACGTCCCTCCGTATACTGGCATACAGACAAAACGCTACACAGTACAACCCAGAAGACCAGCATCTGCATTCACATCAGCGTGTAAACATCAAATCTTGTAAGACTGACAAGTGAAGGTAAAAGTTACTAAGCGGGAGAAATGATACTGAATACATGGCTAAAGCAAAAATATTACCAAACGTCAGTGACTCACGAAGATTTATTAAAACTTTATTAACTGTATAGATATTCTTGGTTTCAGGCTTCAAGCCAACTTCTCCTCCTTTGTATAGGTTTCCTAATCTTTACTGAGGAAAATGTAGGACTCCTTAACACAGGTTTGCACTATTAATTTAGTCTGGTGTAAAATCAAAGTCAAGAAATAAGTTGTAAACAGAAAAAAATCACAGTACATAACTAGTGCAACAAACATACAGAACAGGCTTAGTTGCATAACTCAACTCATCATTAACTTCGGCATTAGATGAAACCTTACTTCCTGAAAAAGCACCGCTGCTATCCATGTCGTAGGAATTTAAAGACACACTGAAATTCCCCATCAGCAAGGAACTTACTAATAAGAAAAGTTTAATTAATTTTAGAAATGTACGAATTTCATAAAACTTAATTTTACCTGGCAAATAACTGATTCATCACTTGGATTCACGCTTTCCAGTACAGCTCCCGATTCAGAGTCTACAAATTCTCCGTTGATAAACAGCTGATGGGGAAATGAAACGTCTATGTTGTTGACATGCAATTTAATGCAGGAATGTTGAACTTCTCTTCTGCCGACATCACCCCTCGCCTTCAGAACAAAGGTTTCACTGAATTCTTTGAACGTTGTAGCCATGAATAAATCTTCGTTCTGAAGCGTAATTTTTAGTTTGTCTTTGATTTCTTCAATTAACCTACAAAATAAGAAGTAAAATAAAATCGTCAAGTAACATTTTAATAATAACAACAACATGAAACCTATATGGACCTGTCTCAATACACTTCCTTAAAATGGAGGTCTTTTTCAAAATTCAAATTTTATCACATGTAAACAACTGCACTATCTAAAAAAATGGTGTTTTCTGACTATTGAATCAGGAATTTATTGACTGGATAATGTGGAGGGAGGCTAAGAGTCCCATATCAAAATAAACTATCCACACAAAGTAAACAGTGATACTGAATTAGAGGTCTATGTTTACCGAACAACATCCATTGAACCAGCTCCAGTAGCAAAGAAATCTGTACTTTGCTCTACTCCAATGTTTAGAATTCCTTCCCAAATGAATTTCAATGCAATAATCATCTCTTTCTCATCATCTGTCAGCTGTACTGACTCTCGGTCCTTCTCCTCTCTGCCATATTTTGCAGCAGATATCATGCGCCCTCCCACTACAATTCTCTGGATATTGACCTGAAATTAAAGAAAAAAATCTTCAGAAATATTTCCTAAGCACATCAGTGGAGAGTATGCTTAATTATAAACACTGCAGTGACCTCTAATATTTTGTACACAGATAAATACACAGATTTAGCCAACATCACTGGACTCGTTACGGTCCTTCTTCACTCCTGCACCGTCCCTCGTAACGATTAAGAATGGTGCCATTGATCAAGGCTGCCATGTGATCACTCGAATTTAACTCAAAAGAGACAGAAAATAGAAAAGGGGAATTCAGATGACAGTACAAACTAAATTCTAAATGAATGAAGTATAAATCATTCTGTAACTTCAGCTGCAAGCAATATCATTATATTTTCAAGTATATACTCAGGACGTTAAATTCTGAATTATAAACAATTTTACTGCACTTACCATTGAGCCATCCTTGCAAGGTATTAGCAAACCCTCTGGATGTACGATCCCTTTATCGGCAAGCCCTTTTATTTCAACCACATTTCCATCCGGTTTAGGTTTATTCCACAGTTGTGAACCAAACAGTTTCACTTTTTCATTATTCAACAGAGTCCAAGCTCCTGGAACACTATCCAATCCACGAATGAAATTATGGACAACTGATGCTGGCCGATCCCAGTTGACCTGTTTGAAGCATAATAACCATTAAGAATTTCAACAAAGCCACGGCAGATATTAAAGCCGAAACGGAAACTATTGTGGACGGCATACAATGGTTTGAAGAATTATATGAAGAAAAGTAATACCTTTCAGAACCGGTGTTCCAAAACATCCTCTAAGTTGTAACAAGAATTTTAAAAGGTTTTGATTGAAAATAACTTCTAACAAAGATAAGTATTCCATAAGTATTTGGCAAAGTTTTCCATCTATCTTTACAAACACATTTCATAAGTAAATTCTGTAAATCCAGGAATTAACAGCAAGATTCAATAGGTGTACTCTTTTGAGTACACTGACATTCATGACACATCACATAGGCCACTATTGCACTAATGCCATCAGAGGTCATAATGTGTTACTTAATTCATATATGATCATTTATAAGTTATTGTCAGTTGAACCTGAAACAACATCGCAAAATACAATTTGGCGGAATACTTACCATTTGCAGTTGTTCTTTACTGAGGGAAGGCTCGTATGATGCTCCCTCCTCTGACTGTGGTACTTTAGGAGCAGTTCCATCTGCCACCATGTTCACAGCTTTAGCCTGTATTTAATATTAATAAATATTTATAAACATAAAAATAACACACTATAACAACAACTAAAATGATGGAAAACCATTTTAAATATCTTGCAAGTTGCATTCACACTGTCTCTTTCTCCAACAAATTGCAGGCAAACTCCAGACTGTAACCTTGAAACAGGTCATGATCATTTAGTTCAACAGGTTTTCCATTTTACAATGCACAAATGTCCTTCAATGCCACACAGCGCAATGTCAGAGCACTATTAAGAAACAATTAATCACGTGGTACACTGCTTTCCCCTTGTCTCCTCAGAAATCAACACCTGTTCAATGTTACCCAGTCACGCTAGGTTTGTCCCTTGTTACTACAGCATCCTCAGTTACTTCTATCAGACTATACAGCGCAACGATCCAAAAGACAGCAATCTTCAGACTCACTGCCGTGGAAACATCAAATCCTACAGGGAAAAGTATTCTTGGAACAAAGTAAGGACATGAGATTTGGAAATTAGAAAGTCACGAATCTGTACAGATCAGGTTCTTTGGAAACAGTATTAAGAGAATTAGCAAAATAACAAGTTGGATTTAGTGGTCAGATGGGAGAAGGGTACCACCGAACCATCAAAAAATGATGGTGTGATTTTAATCTTTCATTTTCTAACTGCTAACTGCCATCTTATTCAATATTATCAAATTTGTCTGTCTACCACTGATGTTATATATGAATCAGATGTTTGGACAAACAAATTTAGTTAGTGACTTCCGTCAAGTTCATAAAGTACATGGAATGATGAGTAGTTTTTATAGAAAGCAATTATATAATGCAAGGCATTTCATATCTGACTATTGACCTCTTAATGATAAGAATTGGACTTGTTTCTCCCACTTCCCCGTCATATATATATATATATTTGACCTATGATCATTTTTACATAAAACCAGTTGTAACCAGTAAATAAAGCAGAAATTATCATTCAGACTACCAGTCAACCAAATCACACAAACAGAAGGCAACCATGAACCTAAATGACAGGCTATGTTGTTCCATCGCTGCTAATAGCATCAGAAATGACAATTTATATTATGAAGACCAAATTGACAATGGAATGTCTAATTTGTAGCAAACATTATTAAAAAATGGTCTATTGCAAGGTTTGTCACAATAAGAAACACAATAAAGGCCAGCAACCTAACCTAACTTTTTGGTCAATAAAGTAATTTTAAGCTCATGCAGTCAAAGTTTTTAAACATCGGTATTTATCAGCATTTTTTAATGTGTTAATTATCAAAAACTGGCTACATCCAGAAATAAATCAACTCTAAGTGAACTCAAGTAATAAATTATTGATGACCTTTAACTTAATTCTTGAGAACATCGACATATAAATTATATACTACAGTGCTGTTAAAGCAGAGAACTTTATGTAACTTTTGCTTAACTTACTGACATCAGGGAATATAATTCTGAAAGTGCCATCATTTTTATCCATTATCGAAGATTCTGTTATTCAAATATTAGAAAATACAAACCATAGCCTTGATCCCTTCTGGATAAAGGAAGCGATTGTACAGAGAATCAACAGTATCATTTGGTTCCACTTTGCATGATCGCTGCAGAAGAACTGGACCTGTGTCCAGACCGTCATCAGCCCAGAAAATCGAGAAGCCTGCCTCACTGTCACCTGAGATGAGTGTCCTAGAAATGAAAACATTAGGAAGAGGATTTCCAATACGATGTACCTCAATGCATTAAAACAGATGGATGGCAATTTTTATATGTTTCCTGTTTTACATTTTTTTCAAAATATGTGATGATTCTCAGGAATGTAACCCCCATGAATAATGACAGTCTCCTGTAACTAACTGATATTAATAATTAAAGCCAGTTCATTAAAATTACATTTCAGGGATCAACTCTGTCCTCATTATCATCAATTCTAAATGGCTTCTGCGAAAGCTTCAACTCATAAACTTTCTACAATCTCTGAGACAGGATTTATAATAAAAATTACTTTACTCAACTCATGTATAGCAATGTATGATACATAATAACCAGTCAAAATACCAGAGATGTGAAGAGCATTTACAAATTCTTATAAGGACCAACATTATATGTTTTACTTTGTTGATATTATGTATCAGCTTATAATACCTTCACAGGGTTACAAATAAAATTACGCTGTCTCACCATCATCATTGCCACACATTCTAATAATTCAATAAACAATAAATGGTAAAAATATAAAATCTGTAAAAATCACCATATTCAAATATCTATAAATTCTGCATATCTTAACCTAGAACATGAAACACCAAATCATTAGTTACGTATGCTGATAATCACAAATGTCCATTTTTCTGTAAAATGTAAGCAACTTAATCGATGTTATTAACCTGTTGACAGTTATGACTATCTGCATGATGCACATACAAATGACCTTACAATAACTCACTCACCAGCTAGTTCAAGCCGTGCATAATGAAACGACTCACCAATTTATAGCACTGACACCCCTATGCTTGGGGAGGAGTGAAGGGTGATAACATATGCTTTTCAACCTAGGGTAGTTGATGACATCCATAGGAATAAACTGAGAGCAAAATGGTAGAACATTTAATTCGGCACTAAGAGACTTGTATTTACTGACAACTTCTGCCAATGGCTTTCCTTGTTTCCTCCATGCCTTCACCTTGAACACAGGTACATTGTCAGTTGCAGCTGTTGAAGCTGAAATAGCAAAAGACCTATAACAAAAGCCATCCGTGTCTTACTGACTGGATCTTACATTGCTGAAATGACATTATTTTAACTAATGGCTGTTCAGCCTTAGTTTATTTAAGTGCTGCCTTTTGATTTCATTACTTAAACAGCACTAGTGAGAAAAGATGTTATGATTATAAATGATGAGTTAGGAAGAATTTTGAAGGAAACAGTGTTGACCTCCATCTAGGCACCATCACAACATTCGTTAGATGAGACTGATGAAAACCACGAAAGCCTCAATCAGTATCCTGAAGAAAACCTGAACCACACACCTTTCAAATGTGGAGTGGCAGAGCCAACACCTGTCCCACTACTTGGTGTTCCTGCCATGGGAATTGTATAGTGAGACAATGGGGTAAAGAAGAATTAAGATTAAATGAGGTTCACCGGAGTATCCAATAAGTGATTGGAGGTCAAAGGAAAATCCTATCAGCCTCTGACAACATTTAAAACTCTAAGAAAGTGGACTGGTTGTGATGGGTTATAAGGGCTGTTTCTTTTGAGGTTATGGCAGTCATTGTTTAGGATTCATAATAACAGGGAATTTGAATTTCTTACGCTTTATATGAAATTTCCATAACGTATAGGTATCCTCACTGCCAAAATATCTGAAGTCTTAAAATGTTTGCGTAACAGTGTGTAGCATAACATTCAACTTACCCAACGGATCCTCTCGAGTCTCTCTGTCTGGAACTGTGAAAACTCCAACAACTTTATGACCATCGTTTCTCAAGAGTTTATACACTTCAGCTGCAAATGTGCTTTGTCCTATTACAGCTACTTTCAGTTTACTCTTAAAATTCTGGAAAATCAGCAATACAAAATACCTAACAATAAAATTTCTATAAAACCTCTAATAACAATTGAACTTATTTGGTTAGCACCCTTTAAGTATCATTTTCCTTTTCACTAAATCCGAAATTATAAATGCAAAGTTTTTATTCGTACTAATGCCCATAATAATTTTTCGGAAGTCAATTGGGTGTGGGAGCAAAGCTAAGGTTCGAGTGTGGCGCCAAATACGCATGGCGTCGTCTCTACACGGCTCTCGTAAAATGATATTTGCACACAGTGTGCTGTTTACAAAGGAAACCTACCACGTTTCAAACGTAAATGTGATGAACTGAGGCATTCTCAAATTTACCTGACATCAGTCATTAAGGCGAAAATAAAAAATGTGCGCGAAGCATCATATAAAGTGGACTATATAATATTGCTCGCTGCGGTGAAAACTATTTTATTGTTATACGCTGAGCAGAAGGGAAGATTTCGTATGTGCTTGGTCATAATCACCTAAAGGTTACCAGTAGATCCACTTCTAAAGCTTATAATTACGAGAATAATTTTTTCAAGTATACATAACTTGTAGACAAAGTGTAATGAAAGCTAGTTGGTCAACTTGAGGTTTTCAATTGTTGCCACACGATGCTAGATACTACGAGGCTGCTATCTTCCTGCTATCTATCTGTACCACAGAGCGTTCTCAAGATATGCAGCATTAAGAACGAAATGCGTAAATAGGTTTCATGCGGAACACGGCTTGAAAATGCAGTAGAATCCAACTGTACAGAACTGTTAGGAAACTGAGTATTCGTTAGAAATTCGTTTCGCATCCCTACTTACGAATGAACGAAAATTAAACATCCCCAATTTCCTCACAGATTCCTAGAATGCTATGAGTTCTTAACACATATTCAACACTAAAAGAGAATGAAAATATATTATTTCATGACAAAATAGATTTTGGTTCCTCCGAGCTCAAAATGTGCAATCTTTCAATGTATGCCACCTGATTTCAGTTCGCAGAAATACACACACACAGAACAACGCTTCGATTTAGTATACTGTCACAAGTGAGGTGATATGGTTCCTCAGGATGACAGAAACCCGTGAAAAATCTGTTTACCTGTGAAGTGGTGAAATGCCTCGAAACCGCAAAATACGCTCTCGTCCCTAACATCTTGCAGCTTGTAATGTGACCTTGACACAAAGTTGCCTTCCAGCTAAAGCAGTAACGACTGCCTTGACCGCACTGGGATATACAAGTAGACAGATCCTCCCTATATATCTCGCTCCATCGACGTATTCCACTTGCATCAGCCTTGTTTAAGGCAAGAAATCTCCCCTCCATGGTTCGCAAAGTATTGCAACGCCAACAACGAAACCACACGGAACTGAGTAAAGCCTTTTATACGCACATTTTGACAGAAATCAACTTCTGAGACAAAATGAACTAAATTATACATGGTGGAATGATTGCCTGAGTTTAAAACAAAAAAAGGTCGTGGCATGTTTTTCTGTAGGCTACTATCCCAGCAGTAGCCTGGAGGAGCTGAGAAAACTAGCGGTAAACTATGGCACAGCCGGTCAATGGCCACAGAACGTCGCCGCCAATTTGTTATCATACCAGCTTGGTGACTGTTCTCAACATAACCTATTTCCTGTATTAATACGCCAGTACAAAATTCAAACACCTAGGTTTACCCTGGAAGGGTTAATCAAGAATACATTGATGTGGGGGTGACGTAGTTTACGATTATCGACATAGAGCGAGTTTTAGATTTTATTTATCGATAATGAAGTGAACGGCAGTAGGTGATATGTACTGCATTTCATTTTATATCGATAATCGTAAACTACGTCACCCCCATATCAACGTACTCTTGTTTAACCTTCCAGGGTAAACCCTTTGTAACTTTTTCTTCATGTAGCTGTTTCCATGTTTTAATGCCCAATTATGCCTTCTTCTTGC